CCCAACCCTGGCGACTGCAGCTTGGACCAACCTCTTTCCTCCTTTGTCACATCACAGAGTCAGTCCAGGCCCTGCACCTGACCAGGGCATGGAGTGGAGGGGCCCACAGGTCTGAAGCTGATAGTGATGGGTCCGCGCCCTCACTCAAGGCCCTCTCTATGATCTTATGAGAGGGCCTAAAACATGGCAAGGAGTGGGGCAGACATCCAAAGACAGGGTTCTGTATTCCTGTGCCCTTGGCCTTGGGTCAGCCTGCAGGCAAACATCCTTCTTTCCTCTTCCTCTTGAGCCTTTCCTCACACTGGGAGCAGCACCCATAGCTCTGAAGGTATCTGTTCCTGTTCCACCTTATCCATTCCTGGTGCAGCCCAGTGGTGCCCGTGGAACCCCAGCAGCACCTCAGACCCCCCTTCCCCTGAATCCACTCTGCTTCTGGCAGGGCTATCAGCGGGCTCAAGATCTGGGGTGTGCAGGAGGGTGATGGCAGGGGAGCTGCCTCAGGGCCCAGACTCAAACCCCACGGGTCCATGTAACTGACTTTTTAAATATCCTTCTCTTGAGCAGCCTCTACTCTTTATCTTCCACCTTAATTCCTGGAACCCAAGCCACTTTCTGTAGGAAGGCAGCCCTGTACTCCCACTTTTTTCATTAGGTGTACCAAGGCTCTCCCAGGCCGCTGCTCCTGGGATTACACCCAGATCTCTCTCTTAGCCTCAGAGATGGAATCCCCCTTCCCTTGTCACACCTCATGTAAAGCTACCATGAAGCACCTAACTCAATTAAGAGGACTGCCCATATCTGAATTCCTGCTGCCTGCAGGCCACACACCCTTCCTGAATAGGAACCTGCTCTGAATCATGCCCGAACTTGCTAAACCTTTTCAAGCTCAACAGACCCTGAGCCTTGGTATAGGCCCCTCCTTTTCCCTCTGGACTCTGAAGGTGAGAATCCATCAGTAATCAGGAATGAGCTGCCCAGGTCATTGCCAACAGGTGACACAAGGTCTCTTTCACCTGTCTCATGTCAGGATGAGAAGGTCCCAGCCACAGGGAGGGGTGGGACTCTGGGAATTCTCTTTTCCCGTCCTGCCTCCTCACCCACCTGCTCCTTGCTCCACTTGCAATTCTGCTCACAGTACCTGTCACTCTAAAGGACTCTCCTCAGATGCCAGCTAGGATGAAGCAGCAGAGGATGATGAGGAGGCAGCAAAGGATGAGGGTGGTGGCCGTGGCCCTGAGTTGGGTTGTGCCTGAGGACACGGTGAGTGATGCTGAAATGGAAACACAAAAGTGACAACCCTTGTCCAGGCCCCAAATCTGAGGAGACACCTCCTCAGTTCCTGCCACCCTAGGTCATCCTGGAAGGCAGAAGTTTTGTCCCCTCCCCGCTGGCGTGGGGCAGCTGATGTGACAGGTCCTGGGTTGGGAAGGGAGAGGGGGTGTCCCCTGTCCTCAGGGAGCTCACACAGCTGCTGAGGGAAGCAAGGTGACAGCACAGCCCACCCTCCTGCTGTGGTGGAAAAGGAGGTGATGCTCCAGAGTTGGGGAGGGGAGGGTCTCTGGGCTGGCGTTGGAGGTGGTTTTGATGGATTTCCAGAACCAGACGAGGGAAAGGAAAGGAAAAGTGATTATCAAAAGAGGAAACACTAAGGAGAAAGGTCTGAAAGCACAAAGACACCTGCAGTTTCAAGGTTGGTGAGAAATCCACAGTGCGGGGAACAGAAGCAAGTGCAATGAAGAATAGGAGTCAGGAGGGAGAAGGGAGAGGAGGATGGGAGAGCACAGGCACGCCAGCACCCCCAGGAGGAGCGCCCCATGAGGGGGTCATTTTAACATAAACGTGTATACTGGGATGACTGAAGCTGAACTCAAGAACTAGTTTCTCGAGATCACCATTTCTGATCTCATTCCAGATCCCCGTTTCTTTCTGCTGTTACCTCCTGCACTTGGCTCCAGGGTGCTGTCCATGTCCATCAAGAAGTCCCCAAGCCATCTTGTGCAGTCTCCCATTGAGATGTAATGGAAGGACATGGTCACATCCTTGTCATTCTCCCACTTTTCTTTCATCTTTCTGGCTCCAGGATGAACCATTGTCCACATTCTGTTCTCTGAGTCAAAGAGGAGGAAGACCTGTCCATCGAAACC